CATTGGCTTTCCAGTGGCTCTTCCCAGCTCTTCCAGCCTGTGCAGCACCTGACCTATACAGGTGAAAAGACTACACCATCCAGGCTGCCTGGTCCTCTGGCTTCCAGTTGGCTGTGGCCAATGGAAGAACGAGCAGGAAATTAGAGTGTGGGAAGAAAGAGGTGTGGATATTTAACCAAGATTCCCCTGGCCCATGCCTAAGGCTGGCCAAGACTATAACAGTGGCTGCATTGGACCACAGCTCCTGTTGAACAGTGTGCCAAATGGACCGAACCGTGGAGACTATAGAGGCAGTTACAATAGCTCAGAAGTTTCTGTAGTTATCCGGGCACGAAGGTTTTAGTTGTAGATCTGAAGTGTCAAGGTCAAAAAAAAAAACACATGACAGTACCCAGAAATAATAGAAATAACTTTTCAATGATATTTCTAAGATGAACAGTCTTAGATGATGAGAGCCTGGGGATGCAGTGGGTAAGGGAAAGTTACCTGGACCCCAACCTGACTTACTTAAGAATAAAGGTCATAATTTATTAATAAATCTGATCTCTAAGTAGGAAAAATGGTTGAGACCCAAGCTTTCATCCCTCACTTATGAATTTTCTAATCACGCCCCATAACTTGATCCTATGAATTCACATAATATTTAATTTTTAAGGGAATCATCAAATTCTAATTTATCCTCCCAATACCAAAATAGAAAGTTAATGAATATTTTATGCCATTTTAAAGTGGTAGGATTGAAACAAGATATATTCACATTTTGTTTCAAATTGAGCAACATGGATTGGAGCTCTGCTTTCTTTGCACAATTTAATAAATAGGGGTCTTAATCATAGAAGGGAAGAAGCAGACAAGGATATCTGCTTTCAGCACATCTATTCAACATGGCACTGGAGGTTTTATCTAGGGTAATTAAGCAAGAAAAAGAAATAAAAGACATCCATATTAGAAAAGAAGAAGATTTCTATGTATAGTTGGCATTACCTTACATACAGAAAATCTTAAGGAATCCACAAAGAAACTATTAGAGCAAAGAAAAGACTTTAGCAAGGTTTCCAAATACAAGAACAATATACAAAATCAATACAATT